TGTTGTTTTGGCGGGTCCGGGCTGGATTCGAACCTGCCACCTTAGGTGTATGTGGCTGGCGCCTTAGCCACTTGAGCCACAGGCGCCGAGCCATCTTTGACAAATTGTTTTGCACTCATCCCCATTTCTGTCCTCCCATATGTATTCTTTGGTTTTGTTTCCCAAAATTTCAATGTAGAATTCTCTCAGTCTCATCCATCTCTTTAAATACTCCTGGGGGCTCAAGACACAACAGCTGAGACACTGGGCTTGGGCGGTTTGAGCTAAGATAGAGAGAATATCAAAAAAGAGGGTCTGGCCAGGCGAAGCCATCCACCCTAAATCCAGAAGATCAGAGGCTCGAGTCTCACCCCTACAGACCTTCTTTTTTACACTAACATGAGAGAAAGGGTAAGAGGAAAGAGAAGTAGGGAAGACTGTAGAGGGTTGGGAGAATTGTAGGATAGAAGCCTTCCTGTCCCACCTTATTCGCGACCCTGACGCCCAGCACAATGCCAGCTACACCGAAGGGTAAAGACATTTCCTGAGCATGCACTACACGCCAAAGCGCGGGATAGATGCTGTGGAGACAGAAATGGATTTTGACATAGTCTCTGCGAGGCAAGCTGAGATAAGGCAAGGCTTAAAAAAGGGTTTAGAATTCAGTATCGACTCTCCAGTTCCAACATCAGCCCCCAACCTAAAGGACACGCTCCAGACCGTACTGCGCAAGCGCTGGGTACCTCCCGCTCGGCCAACGCCCCGCCCCCAAAATGAGACCCGCAGGCGCACACCGCCTTTTCTGGGACGCACCCCCGGAAGCACTAGTTGTTTCGGGGGCGGGACCGGGAAACATTTCCGGGGGCGGGAGTTGCAGTTCTGAGTCTGTTGAGGCGGCGGTGACTTGAACAGGCCGGGTACTGGTGGTGGCGAATGTTCCTTGGGCGGGGGATGTGAGCGGTGAGCCCTCGGCAGGTACCGTGCGGTCCGGGACAACGGGCGGCAAGGATGGGGGTGGGAAAACCAGTGTGGAGCGTTAAGGACCTCTCTGCAGGCCCCAGCGCGCTCGCCACCGACCCCGCTGGGCCCGTTTGGTCGACCGGGAGGGTCGAGCCGCGCATCGGTGGTTGGAGTCCTAGTGCCCCTTAGCCGACTCCTGCCGTCTCCAGCCCAACCAGTGTGCAGACCGCGACACCAAGGTCCCCAGGGCAGCCTCTTGGCCAAGGTCACCCCGCGGCGGCACAACTCGGCCGGCCACTGCGCTTAGAGATCCCGCCCCAGTCAGTCCGTTGGCCTTTCGGGCCGCACAGGGTGGGCACAGCTTGGCGGCCTTGGGTTTGAGTTACCTGTGCGGGAGGCCCGGCGAGTCGAGGCCATAGAAAGGCTGCGTCTGGGCAAAGCTGATACCGTCTCTGTTTCACTTCTGTTGCTGTTTCTGTCACCTGTCTTTTGGCTCTCAACTCAGCCCCTGTCAACTTTGTATTTCTAAACCATCTGTCCCGAGATACCTTTGTATCTGCATCCTGTCATTATTTCCGTTTCCACTTTGTTTCTTTGTGTCTACTGCTCAGCCCTTACTCTCATTCAGGGCGCGTCTTGTCCGGCTTTTTGGCCATCTGTCTGTTGGTCTTTTTCGCTACTTTTTTGTCATTCTTGTTTCTGGACTAACTGGGCTTGTCTGGGTGGGGCAGACCTGTCCGGACCTCAGCCATGGAAGGTGAGTCATGACCCCGTGAAGCTTCCTGCACTGGTGACATTCTCAATGACTCGACCGCAGTTTGGCCTCAACTCTGACAGGTGTCACCCAACCTAAGTGTCAGGGTGCGGGAGCAACTGGCAGGCAGACAGGAGACCCATCTCAATGCCAAACAACTTGATGAATCCTAGGCTTTTCTTGCCTGTCGATTTTCAAGCCTGCACAGCTTACCCACATCTCTTTGCTCTATCCACTTTCCCCAGGATGGCTTCCATGGCTCTCAGGAGCCTTCTCTTTGAATTACGGCTCTTTAACTGGTCCCATCTATGGGCTTAGGAAGGGTAAGGCTGTGAGATCTTTTCTTCGAAGCTCTTGAAACACTAGTAGGATTTCTAGGAGAGCTTAGTTCAGAGATTTTCCATACGTTCAGTTAAATTATAAGAGACCTATAACTAGAAATTTTTTGTTTACAAAAATACCCCTGGAGAAGTAAGCCAGATACAGAAGGACAAATATTGAGGCCACTTAAATGAAGTACTTAGAATAGACAAATCTATAGAGTCAGAAAGAAGAATATGGTTTGAACCAGGGTTGAAAGGAAGAGTTGTTTAATGTATACAGAGTTTTGGGGATGATTAAAAAGTTCTGGAAGTGGGATGTGGTGATGGTAGCACAAAATTGTGAATGTACTTAATGCCACTGAATTGTATATCTAAAAATAGTTAAGATGGTAAGTTTTAAAATTTCATGTGACATATATTTTACACAGTACAAAAACGCAAAACAAAAAAGTACTCATTGGAGACTTCTGAAACCAGTTAGCTCTTTTTAAAAAATTCATTCCATGGCTATTAGGACCATTTAATTGAACCTATGTTAGTTGATACTAACTCTTTTCACAGCAGTGGGTAAAGCTGAGGTCCTTAGAAAAGAAGTTTGGTTAAATAAATCTTTCTCAAGATCTTTACTCACAGCAGATTCCCACCCTGGCTCTCCTCCCTCCACCTTTCCTGGAATCAGTGCAGGAATCTGCTGCATAAGTAGGAAACTTAAGAATGATTTTACTCTTCCTGTGGAGAAGATTGGAAAAGTAGCCCTTTTATTATGGTAATGCAAATTATGCATTCTTTCTTGCACCTTTGTTTTTGTTTTACATTCTCCTATTCAGCCTATCAGTTTGCCTTTATGCTTGATAAACTACTTTAAAGGCAGATTGATATAGCAGCTGAAGTACTACCATATTTCATTGAATCCTAGATGCTATCAATTATTTTATGTATCATCAAGGGAGAGGAAAAACATTACCAACTGAGCAATAATAGAATGCTTTCTTAGCTTTTAGACTTTTTACTCTTATTGAAAACACTTTTAGATTTGGACATTTAAAAAATCATATCAATACATATTCTGATGCATATGTAGGAAGGAAAAATAAGGAGGAATAAATCAGTTAAAGTGTTCTTTAAATTTCTTAACATTTCAAATCCTACTCTTCTGTATACTTTTCAGTTCAGAGTTGTGTTCATGGTTTTTCCACCATTGTCATCCATTAAGCAGAAACACTGATTTAAAAAGGGTGATGAAGCTTTTAAGAGTGCCCTACTATTGGCTCGGCGCCTGTGGCTCAAGTGGCTAAGGCGCCAGCCACATACATCTAAGGTGGCAGGTTCGATTCCAGCCTGGGCCCGCCAAAACA